CAGATCTGTCTTGGGCCCCTGCTACTGCCCATTCATATGCTCCTTGGGCTACAGGCAGGTCCCTTGAGTGGTAGTTCTATTTGTAATCCAAGCATATTTAGGGTTAAAATTAATACCAAAAGCAAACAAAAGAATATTGTTTAGATGCATTCAAATTCACACTTCTTACATGTCATATTTCCTAGGTTAACTACTAGATGCACAGAAGGGGAAAAGTGGAGTAAAAAAATGTGTAGTAAATTTTAAAAAAGGAAAGGAAGAAAAAGAAAAATAGAATAAGCAAGACAAATAGCTCAGAACAAGGTGGCAGATTTAAATGCAAACATATCGGTAATTGTGTGTTAAATGCTCCAGTTAAATGAAAATGTTGATATGACTGGATAAGAAAACGAAACCTAATTCTGTGTTGCTTAATATAATTATCTCAGTGAAAAAACATTTGATAAAATTTACCATCTTTTTGTGATTAGAAAAGCAGGAAACTAGGAATTGAAGGAATTTTATTAGTTTTGATTAAGGATATCTAGCAAAAAAACAGCGAATATCACATTTAATGGCAAAACATTGAAAGCTTTCTTATTGACATCAAGAAAAAGACAGGAATGCCCATTATGACCAACTCTATTCAGTTTTGTGCAGGATAGCCTTGTCAAGGAACTAAGGCAAGAATTATAAATAAAAGATGTAAGGTTTGGAAAGAAGGGAAGAAAAACTGGCGTGTAGATAATACGGGTTGCGTATTTTTGCACTGAGATTTCTATGTGTAGAAAATAAAGATTCTACAGTTAAATCATGAGTATTAATAAGTTTAGGCGAATGCTGAATCCAAAATCAAGATACAAAACCAGTTGTATTTCTATGTATCACTAGCAAATAGAAAATGAAACATAGATGGAGGTTCACACCTGTAATCCCGGCACTTTGGGAGGCTGAGGCCAGAGGATTGTTTGAGCCTAGGAGTTTGAGACCAGCTTGCACAACATAGCTCTGGCTCTACAAAAAATTAAAACAAATTAGCCAGGTGTGGTGGTGCATGCTTGTGGTCCCAGCTACTTGGGAGGCTGAGGTGGTGGGAGGATCACTTGAGCACAGGAGGCTGCAGTGAGCTATGATTGCACTACTGCACTGCAACCTGGGTGACAGAGGGAGACCCTGTTTTGGTTTTTGTGTTTTTTTTAATTTAAAAATATGTTTACAATAATATAAAAAATAAGATATCTAGGAAGAAATTAACAAAAAATATGCAAAACTCTGATAGGGAAAAATATACTTCATTGAGAGATATCAAAGAACATTAAGTAACTGGTGAGATATATTATGTTCGTGGATTAGTAGAGTCAGTATTTAAGCCTTTCAGTTTTCCCCGAATTGATCTATAGAGACAATACCGTACTAATCTAAATCTCAACACGATTATTTTTGTGTAACTTCACAAACAGATTCTAAAATTTATATGACCCTCCAAGGGCCAAAAATTGCCCAGACATTCTTGAAGAGAAACCCATCAGAAATCCTCTTTGTTACAGCTACAGAAATTAAGGCTGTGTAATATCGGCACAAGGATAAACAGATGGGCCACAGAAACAGATGGAGAGAACCAAGTAACAGATGTATGTTTGATTTAAGACAGAGGTGGCTCTGCAGACCAGTGAGCAGAGATGGTCTTTTTAAATAACGGTGCTGAGACAATGAGCTACCTGGGCACACCATGTACAAAAATAAACTCCAGGTATCCACATCAGACCTAAATGTGAAAGGAAAGCTATAAAGCTTTGAGAAAATAATACAGAGCTATACAATAATAATACAAAGCCATAAAGCTTTGAGAAAATAATATGATTGTTTTTGTGATCTCAGTGTAGGGAGGTGTTTCTTAAAATTAGTGTACTAATCCTAAAGGAAAAGACTAATACATATGGCCATATTTCAATTAAGAAAGATAAATGATGAAGTAGAAAATACCCATTACACCTCTAACTAATCAAGGACATACATTGTGTGTATATCATAAATTCCCACACATCAGTTAGGAAAATGGCAGGCAACGTAATGGAAAAATGGGCAGTACTTTACTGAGTACTTAAAAATAAACATCGAAGTGGTCAATAAACATTTTCCATTAACATTGCTCTTGCTGTAAAAATTGGTACCACTGCTTTGGAAAACAATTTGGCATTACCTACTAAAGTTGAAGACACATCTGGTGGCCCAGCAGTTTTATCCCCAGGAATATATTACAGAGAAACGAGTTCACATGTGTCCCCAGGAGGGTTACTCCTCTGGGTCTAACTTGATCCTCTGTATAGTTGGACTCACAGTGCTTACCTTACAGGGAGAATTCAAATTAAATAATTGAATTAAATAGAATGTTTCTAAAGTGCATAATTTAGTGCCTTGTGTATAGTACATGCTTAACAGTAATTGCTTGCTAGTAATAGTAATATAATTGTTGGTTAGTCTCATCAACTGACATCTCAGAGAAGGGCCATTTTAGGATTGGTCTTTTCTGAAGGAAACCAGAACTCTCTTAAGTGGTTGAAAAGTTTGAGAAGATCAAGGGAGTATTCCCTTTCCATCCTTATTGTCCCATGACTTCCTAAGGGCCAGGGTTGAAGGGCAGGGGCTGGGCTGTGTTGTTTTGGGGCCTGCACACCTCTGGGTAATGCATATGGGCAGCTGCTTCACTCCTGTCACTTACACTAATTTGGCAAATCACCAAATTGTCCTTTTGGACTCTTACATGATTTTGTGTCAAAAATCTCATTCTATAAAATAAAACATTGGAATGACATTTCAGTGGTTTCGTGGGGGCATTCATGCAAACTATAGATGATATACTATAGAAAACAATGTTTAAAAATCTTAAATATTCTCACTTGAGATGAGAAGATCGAAATGAGTTGAAAATAAAACAGAACTGCAGGAAATGAAATCAGTAACCATTTTGTTTTCTGTACTGTAAAACTTAAAGGAATGGGCTACTGAGTGGGACCAATGGGCCAGTTCTCTATTTCCTAGTAAATTGCCCCAAAACTTAGCACCTTAAAACAAACATTTATTATCTTTGAGTTTCTGTGGGTCAGGAATTGGGCTTGCCTTAGCTCTGGGTGCCTCTGCCTCAAAGTGTCTCATGAGGGGCTGCAGTCAGGGTACTGTGGGCTAATTCTAGCCAATGGGCTAGTTTTCTATTTCCTAGCAAATTGCCCCAAAACTTCATGCCTTAAAACAAACATTTATTATCTTTGAGTTTCTGTGGGTCAGGAATTGGGCCTGCCTTAGCTCTGGGTGCCTCTGCCTCAAGGCCTGTCATGAGGGGCTGTAGGTACAGAGCTGTGGTCTCATCTGAAGGCTCAGCTAGGGCAGGCTCCTCATTTACATTTACATGTGTAGCTGTTGGCAGGATTCAGATCTTCACTGGCTGTTGGCCTGAGAGCATGAGTCCCTCACTGGCTGTAGGTCAGAAGCTACTCTCAGTTTCTTGCCCCAACAGTCACTCCCAGGGCAGATGACCACATGGGCAGCTGGCTGCCATCCCAGTGAGCAAGCTAGAGAGAGCAAGGCAGGGTGTGCACAGCCTTTGTCACCTAACCTCTGAGGTGACTTAGTATCACTTGCCACATCCTTTTGGTCAGAAGCAAGTCACTAGCCCACAGGGGAGGGGATTTCACAAGGGCATGAGTACCAGGAAGTGAGGGTCACTGGGGCCACTTTAGAGGCTGCCTGCCTGAATCTGCCCTTTGCCCACAAGGAGTCATGTCCCTCCCACATGCAAAATGTACTTGCCCTCTCCCAAGCTCCCCAAACATCTCATCCCTTTACAGCATCAGCCCGAAGTCCAGATTTGTCATCTAAATCAGGTCCAGATGGGAATAAGGTTTTGGGGGACACATCTGTATAATTTATGGCTGCATAACCAGTCACCCCTTGAAACACTCATCTCACAGGAGGGAGGAATCACTGGGTGCTCACTGGGTATCTCAGCAGCTGCCTCCACAGCTGTCCAGGTTCACGTCCTGACTCTTCCACGTACTAGCTGTGTGCCCTTGGGCTGGTCATTTCCCTTCTGTGCCTCACTTTCTCATCTGTAAATGGGGCCAGTAATATAACTTATCTACTAGAGAGGAGTAATGATTAAATGACATAAATTCTCAAGTAATTGGCATAGTCCTTGGCACAGAGTAAGTGCTGAATACATGATAACCATTTATAATTGTTTGAATTATTTTTCTTAAGAAAAAACTTCAGACGCTTTCTGAGAATGTAGATCGAAAAGGATAAAGAGGGAAAGAAAATGATAGGTCTCAGATACAAGAGGCAGGAATCCAACATAAAACACTGTCGTGGTTCTTCAGGTCGTCCAAGAACATCAGAAACAATCATTAAAGTTTAAGAAACAAAAACTACTAAACGAAAAATATTTGTGCTTGCTGATTAAAGTATTCCATGCGATCCAAGCAGTGTTAGAATGTCAGGATGTGGGAGGGGTATGGAGGGCCATGTTGAGGTAAGGCCTCATGGGAGGTAACTGAACCCCATGGGAAATGACCGGCTCCACCCCCATTGTCAGTCACCGCCCATTAGAGATTGCAGACCCGTTCAGTTTAGGAAATTGCAAAGGGAACCTGTGACCACACTGTCTGCAGTTGTCTGCACAGCTCAGGGATTCAGACCCAGCATGAACCAGCTTTTGGCCCTCATGGGACACTCTTCTAGCTGGTGCTGTGACCAACATGAGAGCAGATCACTTCTCAGCCCCATCTCCCAGTCCGTACCAGGCTGGACTAGAGGATATCTGAGGGCCCTTTATCCCATAGATGTCTGATTCAGGATCAGGACTGTACTTAACCATCTGTGCCCACAGCACTTGGCATGGCTGGGGTTCGGCAAATGCATTTGAGTTACACTTGTGTTGAAGTGGAGTCCCAGTTGTAAATGTGATGTGTCTGTCCTCCCTGCCCAACCTCCAGCCCTAACCTGTCTTCCTCTCATTCCCACATCAGGCCAAGTGCAGGAACATGGAGCATGCGCTGCGGGAGAAGGCCAAGGCCTTCTGGGCCATGCGGCGCTCCTATGAGGCCATCGCCAAGCACAATCAGGTGAGTGAACGATGGGGCTGGGTGGGGAGATTGGGTCCACTCAGGGCAGTTGGGGGAGGATTGAAGTTGCGTCAGCCCTGACTTTGTCTCACATAACCCACTGGGTAGAGGTGGGCTCCCTTACCTGTGATGGTCCTGTGCAGCCACGTCGTGGATGCTGACCGTGGCTTCTCTGCCTTGGCTCCTCTAAAGACCCAGGTGTGATCATGCCATCAGCCACAGGAGTGACTTAAAAAGCTACCAACACCATCTGCCCTGTGGCACATGCATTGTACCACCGCCACCTGTGCGTTCAGTGATGACCTGGGACTCATGTAATTTCTTGTTTTCTTTCAGTTCCCACATCCACTCCATCAGCAATCCTATTCCCCCATCTCTAAAGTACATTATTTCTGCCAAACTCTCTATGTTCTGGTCCAGGTCACCATCATCTCTCACTGGGCCTCCTGCCTGTGCCTCGTGCTTTCATTCTGTTGTATTCTGCTTTCCACGGACTGGGGTGATCGTTTAGTAAAACACACCAGCAGTGCCCCTCCTCTGCTTAAAACTGCCAGTGGCTTCCAGTCACCCTCGGTACCACCCAGATTCCTTACCATGGCCTCCGAGGCCATTGCCTGACCCTGCCTATCCTCAACCTCATTTACTTCTCTGCCTCATCTTCTTTCTGTCCCTTAAGCAAACTAAGTCTTCACCCCAGAATGTGAGCCCAGCATCTTTGCCATTAAAATCTCAGATGTCCCCTTCAAGAAACTTTTCCTGATCACCCTCCTCTGTTACTCAATGGCATATTTACCTGGTTTATTTCCTTGATGACACTTCATTACCTGTAATTACCTTTGGTTTTCTATCTGCTTTTTATCCCTTCCCATCAGCATATAATGAAAACAGGGCACACTATTGCCAATTAACTAGAGGAGTTCTTGGCACACAATAGGTGACCAATAAAAATGTTTGTTGATTGAGTGAAGTGAGTAGGTGACCAATAACTTAATCAAATGAATGAATGGGCTTCCTCTGTGCCCACTCCGGTTGTTCTGCCTGGCACCCTCTCTTCCTCCAGGTCCCGTGTGGATTGGCAGGCTTGTTTCTGACTTTTGATCTTGGCTCTGGTCTTTGGCTTTCTGAGGTGGCTGCCTCTAGTAATTACCACTCTGTTAGACTCGTGTTAGCGACAGCTGAGCCATGCCTGGTCCGGTTTGCTGGGCACTGTCCTCAGGAGCCTGTGGTCCCCTCCACTATGTGTCCAAAGCTGAGGATTAGGCCCAGGAAAGGGCCTCATTAACATCTGGCTGTGGAGTTTACCCTGAGCCACAGAGCTGGTGGAACAGAGTGGAAGAAAGGACTGTGTGACACACTGGGCGCCAGGGCAGTAACCGCAAAGCAGACCTATTTCCAAACCTAAGCCCAGTTCCCCAGTGGATCCCTCAACCCCCTCCAAGCTAATCCCCTCCTCTAAAAAGAGGGCAATTCCCTCTTACTAGGATTAAAAAAAAATTCAGATAAAATAATGCATATAAGTGCCCAACAGAGAGAAGTCGTTAACATTTCTGATGTCTAATAGACTGACAAACTGGTGGGAGAGAGTTTTCACTTTTTCAGTGGATTATTTTGTCATCCGATGTCAGAGCTATAAATACATGTTGAAATTCCAACTCCAAATAGCAATTACGAACCTGCTGTTGCTGGAGTTTGTTGAGTTGTTTTTCCAGTAGTCATCGTGGAGTCATGTAGCTTCATCATTGTTCTCTTACTTGGTTTCCTTTTGTGGCTAAAGCTATATGACTGGCTTGCCTTGTCCAGGACTGGGTTGGGGATACTTGGGGAGTGTCTGTCTGTCCATGTGGCAGTACGGCCTGCCCACCCAGGGAGTGTAGGAGTCCTGAGCTTTTTGCTGAGGCTGAGGGTAATGAGGTCACATGGGAAGCCCCTAGGATTCCAGCCTGATTAATACTTTGTCTGTTAAATTCAGTTTATCAAGTCGATGAGAAAAGTGAAAGTTCTGGTGTTTATTCCTTTACAGTGAGGCCGTCATTGCCCACGGTGAGTGGGCAGGAGTTGACCTTGCACTTGCTGGTTTTTCCTGCCATGCTCTATTCTTGATTTTTCTGTGTGATAAGAATTATCGAGGAGAGGGAAAGCGTTAAGATAAATAGCTAATGCATGCGGGGGTTAATACCTAGGTGATGGGTTGACAGGTGCAGCAGACCATCATGGTGCACATTTACCAATGTAGCAAACCTGCACATCCTGCACATGTATCCTGGAACTTAAATGTAAAAAAAAAAGAGAATCACCCTGGATTCTGCTCTCTCCAACGCAGACATCAGTCTTTTCAGTCTGATGGGTTAGCTGTGCTGTTTGTCCTCATTTGCATTTCTTTGATTATTGGTAAGTCTGTACACGTTTTCACAAGCATAACGGCCATTTATGATTCTTCTGTGAACGCTAATTCACATTCTTTTTTTCCCTTGGAATATTTGTCTTTTCTCTCAGTGGATTTGTAAGAGTGCTTTGTACATTAAGAATAATAGCCATTAGTCATAAATGTTGCAAATATACTTCCTGTTTGTCATTTCTTTTTCAGTGGGTCATTTTCAATTTTTTTGGCCATTTTCACTTTTTCAGTGAATCCTTTTGTTACATTTTCAGAGCTATAAACATACGAACAGTCCCTGGCTTATGATTTTTTGACTTTACCATGGTGCACAGGCAATGTGCATTCAGTAGAAACTGTACTTTGAGTACTCACACAACCATTCGTTTTTCCCCTTCAGTACAGTATTCAATAAATTACATGAGACACTCAGTGCTTTGTTATGACGTAGGCTTTGTGTTGGATGATTCTGCCCAACTGTAGGCTAATGTGAGTGTCCTGGGCACGTTTAAGGTAGGCTAGACTAGGCCGGGTGCAGTGGCTCACACCTGTAATCCCAGCAGTTTGGGAGGCTGAGGCAGGCAGATCACGAGGTCAGGAGATCAAGACCATCCTGGCTAACATGGTGAAACCCCGTCTCTACTAAAAAGGTACAAAAAATTAGCGGGGCGTGGTGGTGGGCACCTGTAGTCCCAGCTACTTGGGAGACTGATGCAGGAGAATGGCGTGAATCCAGGAGGCGGAGCTTGCAATGAGCCGAGATCGTGCCACTGCACTCCAGTCTGGGCGACAGAGCAAGCAAGACTCTGTCTCATAAATAAATAAATAAATAAGGTAGGCTAGGCTAACCTATGATGTTTTTAGTAGTTTAGGTGTATTCATTGCTTTGACTTAACTGTTTTTCAATTTATGATGGGCTTATTGGGATGTAACCCCATCATACGTTGAGGAACATCAATATTTAACTTTCAGTCCAAAGATGAGATTACTAACCTACCATTGCCACAGCACACATTTTGAATGGTTTTTCTAACAGTTGTCATGGAATAATATTTTTGTCTTTAACTTTATGAATAGTCTCTTGCCATACACACCTCTTATTTTTCTATGTATTCAGTTATCTCATTCTTTCTTCGAGGCTTCTCAGTTTTGTACTGCGCCAAGGAATGTCTTTCTTATTCCAAGCTGAGAAATATTTATTTGCTTTTTCTTTAATTACATTTATGGTTTCCTCTTCCCTTTGAAAAAACTTTTTGTGAGGACAGGCACGGTGGCTTACGCCTGTAATCCCAGCACTTTGGGAGGCCGAGGCGGGCGGATCACCTTAAGTCAGGAGTTTGAGACCAGCCTGACCAACATGGCAAAACCCCGTCTCTGCTGAAAAATACAAAACTTTGCCAGGCGTGGTGGCACACACCTGTAGTCCCAGCTACTTGGGAGGCTGAGGCAGGGAGAATTGCTTGAACCCAGGAGGCAGAGGTTGCAGTGAGTCAAGATCACACCACTGCACTCCAGCCTAGGTGAAAGAGCGAGACTCAGTCTCAAAAAAAAAAAAAAAAAGAGGAAAAAAAAAAAACCTTTTGTGGTTATGATTAGGAGTGTGTATATTATTTTAATGATTATTTTAAAATAAATACTTCCTACTGCTCCTTTGGTAAAGCCTCTGGATCAGACAAATTTTAAGTCCTAAGATTGGAAGGCAAATACTTTAGAAAAAATCATTACTATTTGCAGCCATTCATTTCTATGATTCAGGACTTCCTTGTTATGGTGCAACCTAAAGAAGGAACTGAACATTGTATGTAGATGAGATTATAGTACTACAGTTGCAATCTATAAGCTGTGATTTTATTTTTAAAAAAAACCCTATCAAAACAACCTATTATTAGGTTGTTGGACTTTCCCATTTGAAATCTGAACTTAGAAATGTGTGCTTATAAACTATTATGTTGATGCTTATAAACTATTATGTTGATATTTTATCTATAGGAGTTCTATACATGCTTTCTTTGAACATAAAATTCCTTTGCTAAAAATGGGAAAGTTGCTGGGCTATGGAGGTTCCCTCTGTATCTGACCCCTGACTCCCTCCCGCTCTCTGCCGTAGGTGGAGGCTGCATGGCTGGAAGGCCGGATCCGGCAGGAGTTTGATAAGCTTCGCGAGTTCTTGAGAGTGGAGGAGCAGGCCATTCTGGATGCCATGGCCGAAGAGACAAGGCAGAAGCAGCTTCTGGCCGACGAGAAGATGAAGCAGCTCACAGAGGAGACAGAGGTGCTGGCACATGAGATTGAGCGGCTGCAGATGGAGATGAAGGAGGACGACGTTTCTTTTCTCATGGTAAGGAGCTCAGCGTCTGGATTCAGTGACAGGACCAGATGTTCCGGCACCAGCTGGGAGCCACAGCCCACCAGCCCTGGCCAACCTCATCTTCCTGGAGCTTCCTGGGTACTGGCCTGGAAGAGCTCACAAGTGACCTGCTCTGCTTGTGTCATAAAGCTAAAAAGACTTACCAGGGCGGAGTTCCTTGAAACCCTCTTATTTCTTCCTCTCTCTTCTTTTTTTTTAGAGACAGGGTCTTGCTCTGTCACCCAGGCTGGAGTACAGTGGGTGATTATAGCTCAGTGTAAGCTCAAACTCATGGGCTCAAGTGATCCTCTCTCCTTAGCCTCCTGAGTAGCTGGGACTACAGGCACGAGCCACCATGCCCAGCTAAGTTTTTCATGTATTAACAGTCAGCTGGGGGTGAGGGGGTCTCACTATGTTGCCCAAGCTGGTCTTGAATCCCTGGCCTCAAGTGATGCTTTCACCTTGGCCTCCCAGGTAGTTGGACTGCTGGCGCTCCACTGTGCCCAGCTCCTGTCTCTTCTTTCCTCCTTTCTCTTGCCCTCTCTCCTACTCTCATTTTTTTCCTGTCTCTACCTTTTTGTTTTGTTTTGTTTTGTTTTTTTGTTTTTGATACAGAGTCTCGCTCTGTCGCCCAGGCTGGAGTGCAGTGGCGCCATCTCGGCTCACTGCAAGCTCCGCCTCCCGGGTTCCCGCCATTCCCCTGCCTCAGCCTCCAAGTAGCTGGGACTACAGGCACGCACCACCACACCCAGCTAATTTTTTTTTTTTTTGTATTTTTAGTAGAGACTGGGTTTCACCATCACCGAGGATGGTCTCGATCTCCTGACCTCGTGATCCACCCGCCTCGGCCTCCCAAAGTGCTGGGATTACAGGCGTGAGCCACCGCGCCCGGCCTGTCTCTACCTTTTAATAAAATGAATTCTTTTAAAATCATTCAATTATTTAAATTTTTTATTTAAATATGATGCCTTGGCTTTCTGTCTTCTTAAGAAAAAGATGATTCTGTTCTCTCTTTTAAAGAACAGTATTATTCATTTTTTCTTCCTTTTATTGATATATTTCCTCTCCATGAGCCATCGGTCCTTGCAAATTTCCCGCAGGGAAATTTCTGGGCTTGAAAGCTGGTCTGTAAACTGGCCAGGGTGGTGAGGTGTCTCCTGTCCCCGGAAAACAGCTGACTGCTGTGGAAGGGGTGTCGCTGTAGAGCGGAGTGGGAAGTGACAGGGACGGTTATCTGTTCAGGCAGTGTCACCTCCTGGGTGGGACCTTTAGGAGTTCTCCACCTCACTCAGAGCCTCGAACCATGAAGCCTTCTGTCTCTAAAATGTCCCTGATGATGAAATCATTCTGTGTTCAGAGCTGTCTCTAAAAAGAAAAATGAAGGAGAAAAAAAAAAGATAGAAAAACCATTTCGTGGGATCTAAAAGCTGTGTGTCTCGTGGATTCTGTTTAGGGAACTGGGAGTATTGTCTTGCCCAGTACCCAGAGTGCTTTCAGGGATGATTTTGGTTTGTGACTCCTTTTTATTTTTTATTAGCAACTTTATTGAGATATAATTTACATGCTAAACAATTCACCCATTTAAAATATACCACTCAGTGATTTTTAGTATATACAGAGTTGTGCAACCATCACGACAATTTTAGAACATTTCATGCCTCCAAAAGCAGCCCTGCTTTAGCTGTCACTCCCCAGTTCCTCCTCCCACATAAAAACTGTTACCTAAATTGAGTCTAACAGAGTGGTAATTACTAGAATTAGCAGCCCCTGGCAACCACTAATCTACATACTATCTATATAGATTTACCTATTCTAGACATTTCAAATGCATGGAATTATATAACATGTAACCTTTTGTGACTGCCTTCTTTCAGTCGGCATATTTTGAAACATCATTCGTGTTGTAGCATCTATCAGTACTTCATTCCTTTTTATGGCCGAATAATATTCCATGGCATAGATATACAATCATGCATTGCTTGGTGATGGGGATATGTTCTGAGAAATGTGTTATTAGGCAATTTTTTCATTATGCAAATGTCATGGAGTGTGCTTACATAAACCTACATGGTGTAGCCTACTACACACCTAGGTTATATGGAATAGCCTTTTGCTCCTAGGTTACAAACCTGTGTAGCATGTTGCTGTACTGAATACTATAGGCAACTAGAGCCCACTGTTAAGTATTTGTGTATCTAAACATAGAAAAAGTACAGTAAAAATATGGTGATGTAATCTCATGGGACCAGAGTCATATATGTGGTTCCTTGTTGACTGAAACATCGTTATGTCGCACATGGCTATATTACATTTTATTTATTGATTTATCAGTTGGTGGTTGCTGTGGTTTAAATATGTTCCCCAAAATTTATGTGTTGCAAATTTAATCCCCAATGCAACAGTGTTGGGAGGTGGAGCCTAATAAGAAGTGATTGGGTCCTGAGAGCCCTCATGAATGGGTTAATGTTGTTCCTGGCAGAGTGGGTTAGTTATTGAGAGAGTGGGCTTGTTATAAAAGTGAATTTGGGCCCCTCTTGCTTGCTTGCTCTTGGTCTTATGTGTGGTCTCTTGCCCTTCTTCCTTCTGCCATGGGATGACACAGCGTGAGGGCTCTCATCAGAAGCCAGTGCCTTGCTCTTGGACTTCCCAGCTTCAGAACCACGAGTGAAATAAACTATTGTTTATAAATTACCCAGTCTGTGGTATTTTGTTACAGCAGCACAAAATGAACTAAGACAGTGGTCATTTGGGTTGTTTCTATTTTGGCTATTATGAATAATATGGCTGTAAACATTCAGGTAGCAACTTTTATGTGGACATATTTTCATTTTTCTTGGAAATACGTCTGGGAGTAGATTTGCTGGATCATATGGTAACTCTAGGTTTAACTATTGGAAGAACTGCCAGGCCATTATCCAGAGCAGCTGTATCATTTTATATTCCCGTCAGGAGTGTATATGGATTCCAGTTTCTCCACATTTTTGCCAAAATTTGTTTTTTAAAAATTATAGCTATCCTTGTAGGTGTGAAGTGGTATCTCCTTGTGTATTGCATGTCATCATTTCCCTGATGGCTAATGACCTGGAACATCTTTTCATGGACTTTTTGATCATTAGTACATCTTCCTTGGACAAATGTCTATTCAGATCCTTTGCCCATTTTTAACGTGGGTTGTCTTTTTATTGTTGAGTTGTAAGAGTTCTTTATATAGTCTAGATGCAAGTTCTTTATCGGTTTTAACTCTACAGGTAGGTCTTTGATGCATTTTGAGTTATTTTTTGTATATGGTATAGTAAGGGTTAGTCCAACTTCTTTTTTTTCTTTTTTGTTTTGCATGTCAACATACAGTTTTCCCAGTACCGTTTGTTGGAAAGACTATTTATTCTTCCATTAAATCATCTTGGCACTCTTGTAAATGATTGATGGTAAATATGAAGGTTTATTTCTGGACTTTCAATTCTATTCCATTGATCCCAATGCCTGTTTTTATATTAGCACCACATATCTTGATTACTGTTGATTTGTAGTAAGTCTTGAAATTGGGGATTATGAGTCTTCCAATGTTCTTCTTTTTCAAGATGGTTTTGGCTGTTCTGGGTCCCTCAAAATTTTGTGTGAATTTTAGGATCAGTTTTTTAGTTTCTGCAAAGAAGCCAGCTAGGATAACGGATTACACTGAGTCAGTAGATCAACTTAAGGAGTATCTTAGTATGTTTTCTGTTGCTATGACAAAATATCACAGACTGGGTAAATTATAAAACAGTCCAAGTTTATTCAGCTCATTGTTCTGGGTGAGGCCAGGAAGTCCAGGAACATGATGGCGCTGGCATTTGGTGTGGGCCATCTCATGGCAGAAGGAGGAAATGAGTGCAAGACACAGTAGTTGCTCATTGTTTTATAGCAACGCAGTTATAACTAAACCGCTTCACAGTAATGACAGTAATCCATTTGTGAGGGCTCTGCCCTCATGACCCAGTCACCTCTTTTTAGGCCCTACCTCCCAACACAGTTGCATTGGGGATTCAGTGTTCAACACATGAACTTTCAGATAATATGTCCAAATCATAGCAGAGATGTTATTGTTAACATCTTGACAATATTAAGACTTATGATCCATGGAATGCATGACTCCTTTTGAGGTCAGAAACGTATATATTTCCTCTATATCTGTGTCTCTGTGTTATTATTTTATTTTCATTTTTTTCAGAAACACAAGAGCCGAAAACGCCGGTAAGTTGCCAAAGCGGGTGGAGGGGAGGGCAGGAGTGGGCAGAAATACCAGGGGTGCAAACTCCAGTGGCCCCGGGGCAAGCAGGTAACAGCCAGCTGGGTGCACCAGCCCACATGCTCGAGCTACTGTGCCCTGGTTTTGAGAGGGAGTGGTGGACAATGGCCAGGTGGAGAGAGCCCTCTCACAGCATCCAGTTCCAGTTGGCTCTGGGGCAGTGTTGTTCTCCTGAGCGTGGAGGGTCCCCGCCTGCCGTGCAGGGAAGGAGAACACCGTCCTGTACATGGCTCGCATTTCTCGGGGCCAGCCAATGTCAGGCTTGTTTCTTGGCCAGCCCCCTCCCTCTGAGAGCCTTAGGCCACAGTGGTTTGTGTTGATGGTTGTTGGGTTCACAGGGATGAATGAGGAAGAGCTGTGTCCCAGTCAGAGCTATCCAAAGATGGAAGAGAGTGCTTTTGGAGGGAGTGAGTTCCCTGTGCTCACTTCCCACTGGCAGTGTGCAAGCAAAGGCTGGAGGACACCTTGGGACCATTGGACTAGAGCATCCTTAGGGTCCCTTCCAACTCAGACATCCCGTGAGCCGGATGTGTAAGTGTGATTTCTGCCTGCAAGGATGGCAGCCATGTTAGAGAACCTCCTGTTTGTATTTCTCCTGGGGTAGGGTGAGCCCTCGGACTGAATTCTGAAGGGAGGTAGCAGCCCTGTTGGCCTTGGCCCATCTCCCATCATAGCCCAGTCTAGTCTTGTCCTGGGGAAGGTGGCCAGGAAACTTGGGCCTGAGGGAAGGGAATGAGTCCTGTTGCTGGTTTCCAGTTGGCCCAGTTTGGCCCAGGATGCATGACTCTGGCCCTGCCTGCCATACCCCATTGTACTTTTCCAGACTCTTCTGCACCATGGAGCCAGAGCCAGTCCAGCCTGGCATGCTTATTGATGTCTGCAAGTACCTGGGCTCCCTGCAGTACCGCGTCTGGAAGAAGATGCTTGCATCTGTGGAATCTGGTGAGCGGGGGTGCAGGCAGGTGTCCCAAGCATGGGTGGAAGCCCTTTATGTTAGCAAAGAGGCACCAGGGCTGGTCTCTGCCCACCTCCCACCTCCTCTCAGAGGTCCCCTCCTCTCTCAGGTGATCCCCCTGCCAGGCCCTTGCAGGCGAGTTCCCGTACCCTGGTCTTCTCCACTCTGCCCAACACCTCCAACCCTCCTCGTAGAATGCCTTCTCTCAGGACCTTGACACTTGGTCCCCTCTTCAGAGAGGGAAACTGGCTTCCTTGTCTATTCAGAACTGTATTTTGTATGATAAAAGACCTCCTCCGTCCGGGATCGCCTCTCCCAAGGCGACTGCAGCCCACACGAGCCACAGTGTCCTGGTTTTACAGGGAGGAATATCACTGACTCAGGGAATGGGCCATGCTGTCCTAACATCCCTGGGTCGTGTGAATGTTGAGTCTCTGCCTGTATGAGTTCCTGTGGCTGCCATAACAAAGGACCCAAACTGGAGATTGAGAGAAGTCGATTCTCTCACAGTTCTGGAGGCTAGAAATCCAAAATCCAGATGTCGGCAGGGCCAGGCCCCTCTGAAGCCTGAAGAGGGGAGTCTTCATTGCCTCTTCCGTCTCCTGCTGCCTCCTGGCCATTCTTGGCCTTACTGGCTCCCCCTCAGCACTTTGATCCCCACCTCTGCCATCACACAGCATTTCCCCCTGTGTGTCTGTGTCTGTCTCCTCTTTATTATAAGGACACAGGTCATATTGGATTGGGGACCCTCCTCCAGTCTTACTAACACATGTATAACCACCCCACTCCCAAATAAGGTCACACTCTGAGGTACCAGGGGTTGGGACTGCCACATATCTTCTGGGGGATACAGCCCAACCCCTGCCACTGCTCCAGCCCTGGGCCGCTCCTTGCATGGACTTGGGGCCAGGTGGGACACAGTGGTTGGTTTGTGGGGCTAGAGATAACCACGTGTGGCCTAAGGGACCTCAGGTTTGCTGATTCCCCATTTCTGCCCCTGCTCGCAGTACCCTTCAGCTTTGACCCCAACACCGCAGCCGGCTGGCTCTCCGTGTCTGACGACCTCACCAGCGTCACCAACCACGGCTACCGCGTGCAGGTGGAGAACCCGGAACGCTTCTCCTCGGCGCCCTGCCTGCTGGGCTCCCGTGTCTTCTCTCAGGGCTCGCACGCCTGGGAGGTGGCCCTGGGGGGGCTGCAGAGCTGGCGGGTGGGCGTGGTGCGTGTGCGCCAGGACTCGGGCGCTGAGGGCCACTCACACAGCTGCTACCACGACACACGCTCGGGCTTCTGGTACGTCTGCCGCACGCAGGGCGTGGAGGGGGACCACTGCGTGACCTCGGACCCAGCCACGTCGCCCCTGGTCCTGGCCATCCCACGCCGCCTGCGTGTGGAGCTGGAGTGCGAGGAGGGCGAGCTGTCTTTCTATGACGCTGAGCGCCACTGCCACCTGTACACCTTCCACGCGCGCTTTGGGGAGGTGCGCCCCTACTTCTACCTGGGGGGTGCACGGGGAGCTGGGCCTCCAGAGCCTTTGCGCATCTGCCCCCTGCACATCAGCATCAAGGAAGAACTGGACGGCTGAGCCGGCCCGGGGCTGCCCAGGTCTTGTGCCACGGCACTGTTTTCTTTCTGCCCTCTTCCTAATGCCCACATTGCTTGGGCACTGCTGTGCCCCCACCTCCTTGCCAGGCTCTTCTTCCTGTCCCGCCTGGTCCTTTTCCGTGACTCTAGGCTGCGCCTCTCTCCATGTTTAGTCCCTTCTCTCTCCACAGTCAGGAGCTATCTGGGTGGCACCTCACTGGCCAGGCTCTCCCGAGTCGTGGCACCTCCACAACGTGAATTTTCTGAATCCCCATTCCAGGATTTCTGGGAATAATGTTTACTTCTAGAATGGGCCTGTTGTAAGCCATCTCATCCAGGTGTGGTAAAGCCATTGGATGAGGCGGGGACTGCCATGGAAAGGAGAGTTTGTTACTTATGGTTCCAAGAGGAGGGGCCGCATAGGAAAGCCCCAGGGTGGGTCAGAGGGAGGAAGGAGGGAGGGGAACAGGTGGGCAGGAGACTTCCTCTGGTTTTCTCAGGAGGAAGTGGGCAAGGCAGAGTAAGCAGGGGAGACAGGTTTAGGGGTAGCTGACTTGAGTAATTTCAGTGGCTCTCAGCGTAGGGGCTGGTCTTTTTGTCTGATACCTGGCCCCAGGATAGTCAGGACAGGTGAATGTTGGCCTGGGGTGTGACAGCCCTGGGAGAGCCATGTGAAGGAGGCAGCTGGCGCCATCCCTCCGGATTAGTTGGTTTCCGTAGGAAAGGTGTGTGCTCAGCTGGATGCTTGCTATCTCCAGCGATTAGGGGATTGGCTAGCCTGGGAGGAGCAGTCTGTCCAGGTCAGCGAGGCCCCAGATATCAGAGCATCAAGAGTACAGGAAATACAGTTAATGCAGGGCCTCTGTATTAACCATCCCCATGGTTAATACAGCTGTATACCCCGTCCCCCATCAGATCAGCTCTTATTGATCTGTTCTTGCAGTTTCTTCTGAACCCAGGGTTCCAGAGCACTTAGTAGTCGCTGTGGAGGAAATTCCTCTGGTTAATTCTCATCAGCATCTGCAGAAAGGAAGGAAAGAGGGCACCCTTTTCGGTTGGGAAGAAAGGAGAGGGGTGGCGCCGTGGACGTGGCCCTAAACGCTGTGGGAGAGGGAAGAGGAGACTGGGCCTCGCTGCCCTCTTCAGTCTGCTGACTTCAGCCTGGTCATGCTTGCTCTACCACTTGCGATTTCATCCTGAATTGCTTCCTCCACCGTGCCTGCAGACTTTTCCCTAGGCTTGTTTTTTCTCCCACATCTCTGAAGAGAGTTTTTAATCGTCAACTCACTATGTCCCAGGAAGTGGCATCATAAAAGGAAATATTTTTTCTCCTAGGAGCAGTGTTAAAATCTGGGTCACATTCCTGACCAAGGACTCAGCATCCCACTTTCTGCCCATCCCCTCCAGTTCACAAAAACTGACATTTTAAACAAATCATGACTCATGTCTATTAGTTGGTTATAAGTATATTGTGTACACTGGTTACATAAAACGTACAGCCACAAGGAGGGCCCAGGTAGGCAATGCCAGTGTGTGAAGGGGCTGGGTTGGGTGTGGTGAGGATGTTGGCAAACCAGCGCATGCACCTGGTTGGAAGATGCTCAGCCTCACAAAAACTCCAAGCCCTTTGGGAGCCAAAGTGTCTGAGAGTGTGACACTCCTCTAAAGTATTTATCACACCCATTAATATAATTTCTATATAATAAACTTGACCTGAAATTACTTCATTCGTTATATTAAAATTTTAAAAATGTTTTTTATTTTCACTCTAGATAGGGGAAGAGTTTTTTGTTTTTTTTGTTTTTTAAACAGGATAACTTGAGCAGGCTAGGCCTCTTAAAAAATGTATTTGAGCTAAAACTCATTTTTCTTTTGGCATTTTCTTTTCAACGTTCTTATAAGCAAAGTTCATCCACGTTGTAGCATGTGTTCAACTTTATTTTTTCGTCGGCCAATATTCCATTGTATGGAATGATAGTACTACATTTTATGTATCATGCATCGATTGGTGGACATTTGGGTTGTTTCTACTTCTTGACTATTATACATAATGCTGCTAGGAACACTTGTGTACAAGTTTTTGTGTGGACATATGTTTTCATTTCTCTTTGGTATCTGCCTGGGAGCAGATTTGCTGGATCATGTGGAAACTGTTTAACCCTTGAGGGACTCCCAAGCTGTTTTCCAGTGTGGCGACACAATTTTATATCCCGTCAACAGGGCATGAGGGTTCTGATTACTCCACATGCCTCAGTGCTTTTTATTATCCATCTTTAGCCGTCCTAGTAGGGGTGATGTGGCATCTCATTGTGATTTTGGTTTGCATTTCCCTGATGGCGAATGATATTGAGCATCTTTTCATGAGCTTATTGGCCATTTGCATATGTTCTTAGGACAACTATCTTTAGATCACTTGCTCCTTTTTTAATTGGGTTATTTGTCTTTTTATTATTGAGTTGTAAGAGTCCTTTTATAGCCTAGCACAAGTTCCTTTAACTGGTATATGATTATAAAATTTTTCTCTGTGAACTGTTTCATTTCCTTGATGATGTCCTTTGAAATACTAAAGCTTTTAATTTTGATGATGTCCAGTTTTTATTTTTTCTTTTGTTGTATATGTATCCTAGAAATCTCACTTTTGATACCGTCCTCAGGTCCATGTAAGTTCTGGGTTTTGGCTCAGGGATGGGGCAGTTGTTCTGTTGGCAGGAAGCCCTAGTCCACGAGTTCATTAATTCTTCCCTGAAGTCCCTCTCCTGCCCTCGCCTTCCACTCACCCCGTCACTCTCCTTCTCATTACTGTGTCCAGGCTCAAAGCAACAGCTCCATGGGAAGGTCCCCGTTCTCCAGTTTCTCCCACTTTTGCATCCATTCCACATGCACCATCGTTCATGTTCCCATCACCCGGAGGGACCCCACTTCCAACCCGCTGCAGTGCATTTCTCCAGGGCAGCTCTCAGGGCATGTTGTCATCGTGCTCTGCCTTTTTACCTGGAGTCTTCTCAGTCTCTTCACACACCGCTGCAGCCGGACCAGGCTCCCTTGCCCTCACCAGGGGCCCATTGTCACTGAAATGTCCTGACCTCAGTTGCTCTGGCTCTCCTGGTCATATTGACTCTGCCACTTACATGATATCTCCTGGGGCACGCTCTGCCTGCCTGAGCTTGTTTCCTCATCTGTAGAAGTGGGGCCCCTCCCCACCTCCTGAATGTCTCAGCAGCGTGAGCACCTCAGAAACCGGAGTCTCAAGAGCATGCAAGAGCCTCAGTGACCTCCAGGCTCCCAGTCACGTCCATGTCAGCCACCTGGTATCAACTGGTCAGAATTGGGTGCACAGGGACCATTTCCTTTTTCGCTTCCTCTTGTGGGGGTTGAAATTTCTCTCAACAAAATTTGATTGCTCCATATCACAATAGTGGAAGTCTTTCATGACCCTTGTGATGAGTGATGGGAAAGTGACAGGAGTTTTCCCAGCTCCAGAGTGACATTCGAGACCCCTCCCTGGCTGGCTCCTGCTACCGTGGTCACCACTGTTTACACAGACCCTGCCCAGCCTTCCTGGGTGCAGGGTCCCATTGTTCCTCCTGCCTACAGCGCCTGTCACCCTCCTTTTATTGTCCCTCAGTCCCCCTTCTCAGCTTGGCGGTGCCTTCCCAGACCTGCCTGGGGCTCCCTGCGCTGCCACTGCATGCTGTCCGTTTTGCTGGAAGAGCACCTCGCTGTCTTTTCTGCTTGGAGACCTGGGAGTGCAGGAAGCATGTCATCTTCCTCTTTCAGGCCCCAAATCTGTGAATGTTGCTGGACCATAATAAATGATTGTTGAGGCCAGGCGCGGTGGCTCATGCCTGTAATCCCAGCACTTTGGGAGGCCGAGATGGGTGGATCACCTGAGGTTGGGAGTTTGAGGCCAGCCTGACCAACATGGTGAAACTCCATCTTTAGTAAATACAAAGTTAGCCATGCGTGGTGGCGCATGCCTGTAATTCCAGCTACTTGGGAGGCTGAGGAAGGAGAATCGCTTGAACCCAGGAGGCAGAGGTTGCGGTGAGCTGAGATGGTGCCATTGCACTCCAGGAGCCGAGATTGTGCTATTGCACTCCAGCCTGGGCAACGAGTGAAACTCCGCCTCAAAAAAATAATAATAAAAATAAAAAATAAATAAATGATTGTAGAGTGCATGTATGGTTAGAGATGTGCACTGCGGGGCAGGAAAGCTGCCCTTGAAAGTGCCACAGACCAACTGGTGGCATTTTGGTAAGGAGAAAGTGGCATGAAGCCCACAGTCCAGATTCTGGATCCAGATGCAAGCCCTGTGATTTCTGGGCTGCCTGAATCTTCTGACCCTCTGCTCCCTCACGTAGAATGAAGATGACAATATCTACCTCAGGCACTTGTGGGGATTCAATGAAGAAAATGATGGTAAAAATGTGAAGTATTGTGTTCTAAACTTAGGACAGGATTAATACACATTGGCTAGTTCTTCAGAAATGGGAGATTCTGAATATAGAATTGTGATTCCCAGTGATGACAAATCCCAAATAAAAGTGAGAGATTGAGAAGCAGAAGTTACCTGTGTTGGGAGTGCTCCGATTTCTTCAGATTTTTAACAAGAATGTTTGCATAAAACTCATGTTCATGAAAAACTTTCAGTAGCATGAGAAAATGGCTATGTTGTAAGAACCAAAAAAATAGGATTCAAAGCAGTAAGTACAGGCATGCAACCACTCACAACAAGCAGGAGCCTGTCTTTAATTTGTGTTGTTTGATTAGATAATCCGTTTACATGGCTGTGAGTTCCAAAGGTACAAAATGTACTAGAACAGTGTGTCTCCTGCCCCAACACTCAGCAACCCCTCTGGTAGGCAACATATATTACCAGTTTTTTTCAATCTTCCCAGAGATGTTTTATGCATAGCACATATCCTGTTGATGGGTATATTCTGTTCACCCCAATACATTATAATTTAGAGCAGACAGCTCTAGCTGTCATCCCTGAGCATCCCAACCAAGAGGCAAAAACCCCAAAGATGTTATTAAAATCCTTTTCTCTCAAGGGGGCGGTTTGTACTGATGTTTTCATGCAGTCCGTTCAGTGGATGGATTTGACTTTTTGTTTGTGTTTAAATACTTCACCTTAAGGTTTTAAAAGAAAGAGAAAAAGCAAAGCAGAAACCTTAAACCTGAGACCTCAATACACATGTCACCCAGGCTGAAGTACAGTGGTGCGATCTCAGCTCAGTGCAACCTCCACCTCCCAGGTTCAAGCAATTCTCCTGCCTCAGCCTCCTGAGTAGCTGGGATGCATGCGCCACCACACCTGGCTAATTTTTGTATTTTTAGTAGAGATGGGGTTTCTCCAGGCTGGTCTCAAATCCCTGACCTCAGGTGATCTGTCCGCCTTGGCTTCCCAAAGTGGTGGGATTGCAGGCGTGAGCCACTGTACCTGGCCTCACTGTACATTTTTAAAATCTAAATTCACTAGAACCCTTACAAAGGTTTCTGGTGGTTAAGAGGCTGGGATACCAGATTGGACAACCTGGATCTAAACTCTGACTCAACCGCTGTGTGACCTTGGGGGAGTTACTTGACCTCTCTGTGCCTTAGTTTCATCGTGAGGAAAATGAAGACAGTAAGAGTTCCTACCTCATAGGGTGGATATGAGGTTAAATGAGCAAATGTGTGAAACACTTAGAAGAGGATCTGGCACAGTTGGGAGTTTACTGTTGTCTTACCTGGCTCTGCTATTTAAATAGCTGCAAGATTGATAAAGCCATTGTATTTTTCTGTAAACAGGGTAATTTGGACATTTGCATGTGTTTTCCAGGTCATTCCATTCTAGCATCCTGTGATTCATAATTTATG